AATCAGCCCAAGCAGCCTGTATGATACTTGGTGATAAATGGTGAAGGAGCCAGAATACACAAAATTTGAATGAGGTGGTAGCTTGGTTAGCAAGCTGCCTCCCTAAAGACTATGAGTGAAATGCACAGACAGGCAAGCAGTCTAATTTGAGCCAAAAAACCCCCCAGATTATTAAAATACTAAAAGTTTACTCACCATAACCGAAGCACTAATCTCATGGACGGCTGTATCACACAGAAAAATCACTCATCAATTAAAAAATGCATGCTAAAGTATCCTTGGGCAAGATACTAAAGCCTGAATTGCTCCTGATCTGTTCATCTGAGTATGAATTTTAGATAGAAAGCATTTAAATGTATATTATAAAGGTCTTGGATGAATGTATGTGAGTGAAAAGTGCTATATGAAGTACATTTCAATTCCCAGTCCGTCCACTGTCCACCCTCCTCTGTCACTGTTACCTGGAAACCTGGCCTGCCTCGCTCACTTGTAAGTAACGAATCAAATCAAATCTGAAAGAATAGCCTTGATTCCACAGCATTAACCCTCTCTCTCCCTCTCTCACTGGCAGTTCATCCCTGCTCGCCCAAGTGAAACACACCTGAGTCCTAAGTTCATTTTTGCTTGAGTTAAAACTAGCATTGATCACCTGGATTTAGCGTTTAAGTCCTTTGAATCTTGCAAATATGACAAAAGGACAATCGAGGCTTGAGGCTACGCTCAGATGAAGCTGGAAGAGAGGCTCTCTTCAAAGCATAAAAATCACTATAACAATGGGAATAGTTATTATTTCTCAGGACGTGAGCCCTGTTAGCCTTAATCTGCTGTAGTTGTTCTCGGATCACTAGTTTAATGTAGTCCAAAATCCCCCCAAAAAAACATGAATACTGGAGAGTACTTTTCAAACACGACAGCTAAATTCAGGTAGAAAAACACTTTAAAGCAATCAATTAAAAGTAACACAACTGAAGTGGGTTTGAATCTCAGCTTTTATCAGAATAAAATGAAAACGATTCCTTCCTCTTACCCAAATTATAATGAACCAATCCAGACGAGAGCGGTTTAGAAGCACCTGTCGCAGTTCACCTTAGGCACTCGGTAATGAAGCTAAGCGACTGACAAACGGAAGAGAAGCTCAGTCATGTGAACAGTTTGTTCCATCTGCAGTTGGCAGGCGTACTTTTGCCGACTATAATTCACCCGAAGAGCAGCAAAACACATTTGCAGGAACATTTCAGCACCTTTCTGACAAGCACATCAACTCGCCCATCTGTAAACCAGAATCTGCAGTTCATCTGTATTCTTAACTCGATGTTTCTCGATGTAGTGTCTGCATGCGGCTTGGAGGGTGACAGACGCTGAGATGCAATCTCATCGCTTGCTCCTCCGTGACCTTTGTTAGACATAATCGAGGAGACAGATGCTATTCACTGCTCTCACTCTCTAATGAGCTGGTGCAAAATCATTTTGTTTTTGCTCATAAGTTATTTACTTTTTGGGTTTTGTCTTTGTTTTGAGTGGAGAGTGCGACACATGCACCTCACCATCTACGACAACATCAAAGTGATCAAAGTGATATAGATTTTAGTAATTTAGCTTTAATGATAACTGTTAGGGTCTCAGTCATGGCTAAAGACCGGTCAGTGATCCCTTGGCAACCAGCAGTTGCTATGGAAACCAGAGTATTTTAACAGCCAGTTGGGGAGTGGTTGCTGGAGGTTGCTGGCAGTTGCTAACAAAAAAAAAAGGTCTCAAAGAGCTATAACGTGCTACATAAATGACTTCCTTGTGATTCTTTTAGCTGCTAGATTGCTGCGGTCACTCGCATGCCCAACGGGAAATCTACGTCGCAACCTACGACTTGACTGCAAACCCCTCTAAACCTGACGTTATAATCTACGTCGTAATCTGATGTACAATCTCCTGAGAAATTTAACTCATTACATTTTTTTTCTGTCGGCTAGCACTGCACACAATACAATCAACACATAACGCACCAGCGCAAGCATAAATGCCGGTGACGGCTTGGTCCACTTACGTAGGTTGCGTCGTAGGCTCTGCAAAAATTCCCGGCAGTAATCTAAATCAGGCCTTAACTTGCAGGGAAGACGCCAACTCGTCTACAACACTTGCCAACCACCAGTTTCACCAAGTAATAGTGAAACTGTGAAAAGTGCAGCACAAACTGGAACCGCAGACCACTCGCTTTCAAAGTAAAAGTTGCGCCTTTTGAAATGTGTTGGTTGCAGCAGAAAGGCACAAATTTTTACTTTGAAAGCAAATATTCTCAGACTCTGGTCTGCGTCACAAAGAGAGGAAGTCAGGGGTGTTTGCAGGCAAGTCGGCAGCTTTCACGAAAACCACAGGCGGAAACGGCAATCTGCTAATGACCAAAGCAATCATAAGGAGGTTTTTGTCGCAACAACCTCTTTGCAGCAACCTCCAGCAAGCGGTCGCCATCCAGTCGGGAAATGCATGTTTTTTCTTAGCAGCCAAAGCCTGACAGGACGACACCAACTGTTTTCTAGGCCTGTGTGACCGAGGCCTCAGCAACACCAAACCTTTTCATTTGTGTTTTTAAACATCCCAAAACTTTTTTCCCCCAAATAGAGGAAGAGGTGAGCTTTATGACCCTTTTATCTTTTGGAGGACCCACCTCTGGAAGCCATCACAGTTATTTACAGGCTTACTCAGGTCAATGGGCAGCTCCATTTACGATGCTCAGTGAGGCAGACTGGGAAAGACTACGACTCTGGAGAGGGCAGGAATCATCCACTCCGCTCATTTGATGTGGCTGACTGGGCCGACGTAGATGATATGGTGTGGTTGATGGGTGGTAGAGCCCGCTGGTGGTTTATTTTTCCTGTTTTTAGGTGCTCTGTTGTTTTTGTGTGTTTTTGGTTAATGCCTATTTGCTCAGTGGGGCTACAGGAGTGGTCGAGTATTAAAGTAAAAGATGGAGAAAAGCCTGAAGCTTTAGACCTATTTTACTCTATCAACCACAATCTAGGGCTTCTCTAATGCTCTGCTGGTGGTGATTGTGCAAGGTGGTAAAATGCATTGTGCTTATAACTTTGTTTTTAATCATCTTTTCAAAAATGTATGTACAATTTTTAATCAGAAAGAGCAGAAAGAGAAAAAATATACACTTGCAGAATGACTGAAGCCAGGTTCTCATTCCGGGGACTGCCAATTTTAACCAAATTTTCCAAACCCCCCCCACTATTTATGTGCCAACATTCAGAGTTGGATCTTCAAAAGATAACCAGCTGGTACTGCTAACTCTCCAGTCTGGTGCCTTTAAACCACAAGAGAAGGAGAGGTTTCAGCGAGCGCCAGCCAAGCTTCAGTGAATAGAAACAATACAGAAAAGCAGACAGATTTATGGTATTCCTGTTTGATTGAAGTATTTCAAGAACATTACACCCTCCTCATAGCTCCATGCAGGTCTGATGCTTCTGTAAAACCGATTTCTCACATCTTTTACATGCATTTTGTTTCTGATGCACTGAGTTTCCAATACAGTGTGATAGTTCAACTTTACCTGCTGGAGTTGGTTCTTCTTCACAGTGTTCTAACAAAGGAAAATCTTTGGCTCAGAGTCTAGGATGTTTTTGCTAAAATCATTCTGCCATAGTGCAAAGGGCGACGGAAGCAAGAGGTTGAAAAAGATCCTGAATCTATGATCAAAAGCAGAATTTACGAGTTCACTTTTCAAAATACTTGGCAGAACATGCTGCGAAACCACTGAAGATCATTGTTTTTAGTCAGAAATGGGTCCTACTATCTGGCCATAACTTTAAGGAACCTTAAACAGGCCCTATTAGACTTTTTTCAGTGTATATCTTTCATATATATACTGACACATTATTGGATGTTCACACTGAAGTTTCCAATAAAGTTATACAAATAATCCCTGTGACCCAAAAGCTGCTCTAAACTATACGCTTCAGACAGTTTTTCTACTCTTGGCTCTGTATGATGTCAGCGTGAATGGTCACCTCTAGCCCCACCCACCTGCTGCTTAAGCCTTCAGCCAATCAGAAGAGAAGTAGGGCATGTTTCAGGTATAGGACAAAAACCTAGAGCTGGATATGAGCATAATATTTCTTCTTTAAATAACAACAAAGATCATCCGTAAGTGCAAAGAGAAACATCTGTATTTGCTCGTCTACCTGCGTTGCTGGGCTTTCATCACTTAAGACAGTTGCAATGGAGGAGAAGACAAAGGCGGGAAGCAAGAAATTGAAGTAAAACAGGAAGTAATCAAAAGACATTAGTGAAACAGGAAGACTAAAGGCCATTACACACCAAGCGTGTTGCAAAAAAGTGACACGAAAATTCTGAATTTTCTGGCTCTGAACTTGTTGTGTAACGTACACACACCGATTTACACACCGAATGTGTTTTTGCAGGAAATTCATTGTCACAAATGCAGCATCAAGTGATGAGCTGGTCCTGAAAAAAATGGAGTAAACTGCGATTTTGGGTTCATGCAATTATCACGAGAAGGCAGCAGCAGAGAGAATTTCATGGATTGATCCAGGAGTTGATGCTGGATCTCGATATTTCAGGATGTCAGTCGGGCAGTTTGAGCTCTTGTTAGAGTTGTGACCACATCTGAGGAAACTGAGAACCGGTTGACCCGGAGCAGCGTCTCAGACAGAATAGTATGATTTGACTTTTTGTATATTCAGAGCTGGTACCTGTTTTGAGCTACGAGTGCACTAGCTGCCAAATGCACTGATCTGATTGGTCAGATCTTTTTACTTGGAAAAAATTGAGCTTGGTTTGGAAAAAAATAAATGTAGCAGATTCGTCCAGCAAACATTCGACAGTCAGTGTGAATGGCTGCATCAGGAATAGACGAGTCTAAAAAATATTTTTAAAACACAAAATATTTGTACAGGTTTTACCTGTCCGCTGTGTAAAGGCCTTTAGTCTAAATGTGACGACAGGGATTGGGGTGGATTAGGGTGATCTTCCTGGTGGATTGGGAAGAAAATAACAGCAGAGAAAACTAAAGAATACAACCGGGATCACGGCGCTGTCAACCTGCAGGCACATTAAAATTCTGTTGTGTTTGCTGTGAAGTAATATCAGGAGAATAAAAGCTCCAGCAACAGCACCAACATGTCCACACCAACTTTGTACCTAATATTTCTATTCATGGTTTGAACCTCTGGGGTAATCGCTGATAAGCGATGTCATCTGCTGTCTGAGAGACACGGAGACGGCTCGTCGACAAGCACCGCTCCCACATCCTCTGCTCCCACTGTGGCGCGGCTCTTTTAACCTCGACTCCTTCCACACTAAACAGTATTTCCATCAAAATACCTCAGTGGTTTGCATTGATGTTGCAATCAATCGCCTTCTGCCAGTCAAGTGGGAGCTTTCGCCGGTTAGCATATAGAGATCAGAAAGCTACCTAAGATCCCAAAGTGTTGAGAGTCTGATTCAGTTTGAACATCCCACTTGGTATTCACCAATCCTGGATGTTTGTTTTGTTTTCCTGCAGGAAAACCTAATAAATCCCTCCCGAAGAACGTTGGTTCAACTTAAATCAGAGATGCACAATACGTTTTTCTCAGTGCTTTACAAATGGTGAACTTGAGGTTTGAGGGAGAAAAAAAAAGAAGAAAAACTACAAAAAAAGAAGCCTTGACACAGACATCCTTTATTGCCCATTTTACACCTGATTAAACATTTCAAATTCACACCTCATTAAGCAATCAGCTTTTCTTATTTGACCTCATGACCTTACCTTAATTATGGATTAATTATATGATGTCCAAAGCTGGCTATGTATATGTTTATAACTTCAGAACGGCAGCAATGACTGCGATTATGCAGGAAAAAAAGGAAAAGGTTAATTGGAAATGAAAATCAGACCCACCAACCTTCATGCTCCTAGTTACAGCACACATACGGCTACTTGGTGTTGGCTTTAATGTTGGAATTTTATGTGAATACCAAACCCTGTAATCACTGAGTATGTATGTCATTTCTAGAGATGGTCTTCTGTGTGGATGTGAAGGTCTACCTTCATTTTTCTTTTGGCTACCATCTTCTCCTGATCTAGCTTGGATCCGTTCCCAGACAGTCTTAATCTGGTGTTTATAATCGGCTCATATTGTCTGATTTAAATTCCTCTTAGATAAAAACAAGTTGGAAATTAGCTGACGGTGGTTTGCAAATCTGTAGTGACCTAAAAGTCTGTTTCAACTGACGGGAGGTCTCACCTTAGCCAGATAAGCGGCGTAAAATAAGGTAGGAAGATCTATAATTGCTCATCTGCCTGCTTTCCTGGGTGTTCGGCTGCTACTTTCCCACGCTGTCAATCGCATAAATACAGGTTGTTTTGTTTATACCACTTTGATTTAATCGCTCCACATAGCACAAACTAACTGAGGACAAGGAGGAGAGGCTACAGAGAGAAAACACCCTGACCAGCCTTGAACCATTAGCTTATTATTTGTAACTTCTAACTATACTACTAGTATCTGATATTGCTGGCTTCTCTATGTTTAAGTCAGCTTGTTGTTATTATACAAATCCTCAGTGTAAGAAAACATACATGTACATACACCAGTGTATGAATGTGAGAGTGAATGAATAGTGGTATTGTAAAGCGCTTTGGGGGTCCCGAAAAGCGCTGTATAAATGCAATCCATTATACAATCCCACAAAGGTCCTAGACAGTCGTTTCACTCAGACAACCTTCGATGTGAGAAACTAGAGCGCTTGGAGTTGTCATTAATATCTAAATCATTATTTTTCATATTTGTTTCACATTTTGTCCATCAGCAGCCAGGTTGTGAAATATTGTGTGCAATATAATCCTGTAACACATTTTCAGGTTAAATAAAGAAACAAAACAAAATAAATATAATGTCCTGAATCAGATCTGTGTTTCCAGGAAAAATAAATCAATGCTTTTCTATAAGGCGGACGTTTCAGGTTACTACCCTCCTCGGAGGTTTGGGCTCGGAGCCAGAGAGGACGGGCTGAGCCACCATGTAGTATGTTCCCCGCATCGCCTGCCAACCAGCTCCTCATTCCTCAGCTTCCACTGAGGTCAGTGTGCGGATCCGGTGGAGGTCTCCCCACACAAAGTCAAAAAGAACAACCTGCATCTGAGAGTAATCTGGAGCACATCGTATCTTTCAGGTCTGAATGTGGCTCATGACCTTTGCCCAGTGTCACTGCGTACCCACATCAAGGAGGGAGGCAGGCATTCAAATTTCCACCTGTTCCCCACCTACACTGCTATAGCTGACCGTGACCTTTGACCAAGCAAGAAGAAAATTTCCATTGAACATGTGTTTCGATTTTATACCGTATCTGATGTCAATCTTGGCGGCCCAGTGACAGTGCAGTGATAATGCAAGTGAGGCAGCCTGTGAGCGTACCTCAGAAAACGCTTGAATCGGTACATTAATTGAGCAGTTGGATTCATTAGCTGTTAGTTAGCTAATTAAAAAGTCTCATTTAGTAAATCAGCCAAAGTCAACTTGTTAATGTTTGCTTCTTTTAATTAAATCAAGTGTTTCCATCTAACTGCTACATGAGCATTTAATGGCTCAGAGGCATCATGGATACATTTTCACCCAACACTGCAAACATTTAAACTCTGATTTAAATCGAATCCTGATCCTTAACCCAAACTTCGCCTCTTATTCTTATAAATAGATTTTTATCTATTGTTTTTTGTGAGGTGGACCACTGAATTAGTTAAGCACCCTCTTAAATTCCTCAATCTGGCAATGGATGTCTCACAGACTTTAGTTTATCTGCTGTTTTCTCGTTTGCATCTTCTAATACAAACCCACTCAGCCCATTAAAATCCTTGAAGAAATAATTCAAATTGCCTCGGGGAAAAATAAATTCTATGCACAGATAAAGTTAACCCAGTGTTTTTAAAAAAATGTGGTTTGGTTTCTTAACACAATAAGTAAAGAACAAGTAAAATCACTGATCTGGTGCTTGACAAGAAGAGATGATTGCGCATTGATCTGCATCTCTCTAGGAATCCTGGAAGAAGATGCTAACACGAATTTACAGCCATCTGCAAACCCGTCGGTAGCACCAGCCACATGTAGACATCTCAGGGCTCCTCTGATAATGGGAGTTAATAAGCACAACAACCTAATTACACTTCATAATGGAGATGACTAGCATGTCTCAATAACACAGAGGGGGGTCCTCCAAGAAAATGGGCTCCATCGCCAGCGGGGTGGAGACCTCCTGACTGTGACCCTGACACATTCACCCACATCAAATCAAACTGCAGACAAACACACCGCCGTTGTTATGCGCGTGACGCTTTTTGTGCGTGTGTGTGTGTGTGTGTGTGTTTTAGAGTGTTTGTCTTTATTGACACCGAGAAAAGACCGCAGGCCATGGAGTCTTCTTCTTTTTAAAACCAGGCAGAGGTCAAACAAAGGATGCTGCTTCGTTCTGCGGTGTTTACTTGGCAACGCCTGACACAGATCTGTTAGCTCAAAATACCACACTGGTAAATTATGAGGGGCCATAAATCAGGTGACAAATGTTCTGTCACGGCATTTTGTCTGATGTTCGGACTCTTGTCCCTTAGAGAAAAAAAACTTTAACATTTTATAGCAATCTAGAAAAGAAGTAATCTTAAAATCTATAACCAATCAAATAAATGGATGAATTTAAGTTTGTCAAAGTGTTTTAACGTCTGTTTTACTCTAAATTCAATCATAATTTAAAATACACATTGTGTGGTATTTAATGAGATTTAAAACTTACCATAGAGGTAATTTTTCACTGTGGTGTTGAAACAGGTGAAGCTTCATTTCTTGAGTTTTTAAGCCCCGCCCTGATTTTTCTCACCTATGTTGTCCTTCACACATGGATTCAGTTTGCCTGTCATTGTCCTAAGTATATGTACCTCAAGCTGTTCGCCTAACACTTCCCAGATTGTTGTTGTTACCTTTATTTAACCAGGAAGTCCCACTGAGATCAGATCAGGCATACACACTTAAATACAAGATCAAATACAAAGAAAACATCCCCGGCTTCTTTGTCATGCTCCTTATGATTCTTATAAACTCAGCAACATATATGGGCATGTTTAAAACAAGAATCCATAAAAATGAGGAGGAGATGTAAATGTATGGTGTATAACCAAGTAGCTTCCTTGTGTTTTCTTTGTACTTTTCCTCCTGTGTGACCTTTTGGAGTGTTTTTTGGGGATTTTGTCTTCTGCCTTCTGGTTCGCTGCCGGCCTTCACGTGTATGACTGCTGCCTGTTTCCAGTTAGATTTTGATTTGGGATTTTCTTCTTCGTATCCCATTCAATTGTGTCCTCTTCCCTGTGATCCTCACACCACAGCACGTGTCCTCAACATTTTGTGTTATGTCCAACTAGAAAAAGAATAAATTGTTAAAATAAGCATATTAATAAAAGAAATACTACACAAATAGGAGCTGCCTCTGCTGCTGCTGCTGAGCCTAACCTTCTGTAGTGCACTCTGGCCCACTGTGCCTCCAGGCCATGGTTAACAATGTGCTGTTTCATGTCAGGAACAAAAAAGCCAAACTAAATCCTCCTCATATGTTCAGGTTGTGGGAATTTCAAGCCCTTAGTGTGGTCATTAAAGCTGCCTCTTAATGAAACTCAAACTTCACCTTGAAAAAACAAAGCCAAGCCGGACACGCTAAGGAAGTGTCAGAACGGACGCTCGTGCACGCGTGCAGCATTTTCACCTCAGGTAGAAATATTTCAGGATGGCGTCGTTCTAATGCAGCAGCAGTCGTCCACACACATCTGTCGCTCACGTGTGTTTCTGCTCCCTGCAGCTACTTTGCATTCAGGATTTCTGGCTTTCACGCTGATGTTTTCTCAGCTACTGTGTGTGCGTAGAGAAAACTTCCTAACAAGCTGATTTAGTGGGCTACAAGAGCGCTGCGCAAACCCAAACCTCATGTGAGCTTTTTTCAGCCTCTCGTGCCCCTTATAGGAAAACGCACGAGGTTGAGGGGTCAGCAAATTCATTGCAGTGAAGGTGCTACAAGTGAGACCGACTCGTTTGATCTTGGTATGGTACTCGTCTCCAGTAAATTAACCAGCAATCGAGGCCGTATAGTTTGGTTTGGAGACCATTTGTGCAGGGATCATTAAGTGGCCAAATTCAGGTATTTATGGGAAAATATCGGAGCTCTTTGTAGAGGGTAAGCGGGCAGCGCAGGGGTCTGGCTTAAAACTGAAGTGACTCAGTGCCCCGATGATGAACTTCAGGGAACAAGTTTAATAACTTTTTTTTTTAATGAAGGCTGGAAATGTTTTTCCCCACTTCAAAAGCCGCTCATTTCTCAAATAAATGAAGGGCATTTATTGCAAACAGAAGCTTCTGCGTTATGTTTGTCTCAATACATCAGTCACAACTACAGCGTCCTTTAGCCATTTAGCCCAGACGTCCAAGAGAGCTGCTTCTTAATGAAAAATCACTCTCATTTTGAAAGGAGTAAAGCATACCTTGCAGACTGGTAGTGCATGCAAACACCCACCACAGACCCACCACTTCCCTGTTATGCTGAACCTGAGACGATGCTTCCTCCCTGCTGCTTCGCCAATGATCAGAATGACGCGTTTCAACACCACGCTCTCTCCCACACTCCTATGTTATGCCTAAGTTTGAAGGAGTGTTTTCCAGCCCTCGATGGACTTTACTTGAAGAGCTGCCATGAAGTCATCCGCCAACACGTGGCTTCAGGTGGTCAAAGTGTCTGTTTGTCCGCCCCCGTCTTCATACAGCTTTTTAGCTCAAGCAGGGGGAAGTTTCCACGTGGAGGATGTCTCAGCTGTGAAGTCTCATCCTTACTGGTTAACCATGTTTAAGCCGAGCGCAGAAACATTATGCAATGTGGGCTGATGTATTAGCTTCACGTAGCAGCAGATTAACAGATAACCAGGCTGCCTTTGTTTCATTTTTTTGACGTAGTTTGGGTTAAGGGCGCTTTAATGTCACTGCAAATATTGGTTAATGTTGTTAAGAGGTGTGAAGATGAGTGTCACACTTTCATGACAGGTGGAAGATCTGCAGAGATCTACAGCACTGTGCAAAGGTTTGGAGTCGCTCTTCATTTCTTTGTATTTTGCAAGGAATACAGTGTATAAGGCCAAAACAGAATTTGCACAATTCTAACAAGCTTGAAAGTCGATATTTGGTACGAGAACCTTTATTCTTCAGCACAGCCTGAGTGTTCTTGTCATTTAGTCAAATAGTCTTCAGGAATAGTTCTCCGGGCTTCTTGAAGGACATTTAGAGCTGCTCCTTGCTTTTGTTCCTTTTCTGTCAAGATGATCTCACACTGCTTCAGTAATGTTGAGGTCTGGGCTCTGGGGAGGACAGTCCTCAGTGTGCTCCATTGTGTGTTTTTCAATTCAGGTATGCTTTTACTGCATTGGCAGTGTGACTGGGATCACTGTCATGGTTAAAAGTAAATGCAATCAGATGCTTTTAGAATCGAAGACTCAAAATTAAAAAGCAAAATCTGATTGTATGTTCATAATTTCATACATTTTTCCATAAACTTTCAACACCACTGGTTGAAATATTGTTTCACAATGACCGTAGATGATCCCTGTTGCATCTCTGTCCAGACCTCTTCTGTACATACTGACAGGCATTTGGATTTATCACTCCATCAGACCTGTAGCCACTGATTTCCACTCCGGTTCTTGTGTAATTTGGCAGACCTCAGCCTTTTCTCCCTGTTTCCCTTCCTTAAAAATGACTTCTTAATAGCCACCGTTCCACTGAGACCATTTCTGATGAGGCTTCAGTGAACAGTAGATGGATCAACTAAAGGGTCAGATACATCTCTCAGGCCCTGTTTCTTAAAGACGTGACTTTAAGATGCTGTTCATCTGCTGTAGATCGTTTTTAGGCCTGACTCTTCTGCTTTTACCCTTCAATTTCCACAATTCCTTTTAAGGACACACTGCTTACTTTTCCGAAAAATGTTTGTTGATGCAGCAATATAATTTTGTAGTACTTTTCACATCTTGAGTTTGGTGTTTTCATGCTTGAATAATTCGTAGGTATCTTCAGAAAGCTGGCAACTATTGCTCAACAACACTTTAAAAACAGATTCTGGCTCCTTGGAAGCAAAATATAAATAACTGAATGTTCTAGTAATGAAAACTAGGCCAAATAAAACTAATGGGTCAATATAATATGAGAGATCAGCTACTTAAGAAAACGAATATGCTAAATTATTAAAAACCAATATATCTGGCAGCCTGGAGGTCAACATGTGAGTGAAAACTTCCCCTGCATCAGAAGAAGCTGCCTGTTGAGCACACCAGTTCCATTCACAACTCGAGCCCTTCGGCCCCAGAGGATGTTTGTCTTTCATCCGTCAAACGGTGTATTTTCACAGTACTGTCTGCTTTTCCTTTGCTCTGTAAGTGTCTTTGCTCAGTGGGAGCAGCTGATGTTGTAGCAGAATATGATTTACAGCAGCAAGAGAAGAGTTGCACTTAAACGGGACGCCACGGGGCACGATACGTTTCAGGGGACATTTGTATGCACGCCAGATCGGTGGGGAATCAATGGCTCTTCTTATACACACATACATGACTCATGCACATAAATAACCCAAATCACGTGTATGCGGATGTTGCTGTAAATCTGAAACCCGGTGTAAGATGTCTGCGTGTAGGTTGTAACATAAGCTATCAGTGTATCTCCAGATCGTCGCTAAAAATGGGGAGATCTGCGCCCCGGTTTCTTGGAAACACAGAGCTGCCGTGCAGCGTTGCTTTCTAAGTAAGGGCACATCTGTCTGTTTTCACATGTGCACATAAAGAGATTTATGAAGCTGTTTTTGTGGAAGGTAAAGCTGCTTCAACAATTCCTCAAAGAACCCATATTACGTTAAGTTAAAAAAGACTAAAAAGCGCCACGAGCCCAAACTCAGATTGTGTCAAAAGTCGAGTCAAAGGTCATAAAAAGGGTAAGTGGTACCAGTCACATGAATTACTGGTCATGTGAGTGCTTCTATAAACATTTAGTTCAGTATTGCGCCTTTAACAAGTTTGATATGAATGGAAATTAAAAGCTATACTGCACCGATGACTCATGCATCAACAAGCTGTGTATAATGTGCAGCTGGCATGCTGATGTAGGCGCTGCTAAACAAGCGTCCTGCAGCATGTGTCACACGTGTATAGGCAGTCAGTCAGTGCAGATACGACACTGCTCTGATAAATATAGGAGTTCCGGGATTGCATCCAAACGGGCAGCTGTGCTTTCGTGACACTGATGGTAATCGAATATGACTGGAAGTTTGGTGGAGTGACACACTTCATAAGAAACATGACATATATGCATCATTTGTGGGGATTGTGGGCAATCTGTGGGCAGATCCAGGCCTTTTAAGGTCAAAGATGTTTTGCATTTACGTAAAGCCAACTCACATTTCAGTTTTGAACTTCACAGCAGGGGTTGCTACGTTAGTTCAGAGGGGGTCAGGGCCATGGTGGTCACAGCGTATCCTGTCCTGGCCCCTCTCCTCCGGCGAGGGCCTGCTTGCTGACAGCGGAATGACATCACCAGGGGGGCCCTTTGTCCCCCCTTTTGGGAGCGTTGAAATTTTGCACACAAAGGCTGCGTGGCGCTCCTATCTGCTCATCTGAGTGGACGCAGCACTTTTGAAAATCCCTAACAAGATTAAACCATAGCGCAATCAGCTGTCAGTCCGCACACACTAGCTGCTTCTCAGAACTCACACAGCATCTAAGCCCTGCTGTTCAAACTCTACATGCAAAAACCACATCTAAAGTGGGACGAGTGGAAGGATATGCAGCTATACAAAGCCAGAGAGTTCACAGAAGAAGTGTAACTGGGGAAAAAATGCTTTCAGACTGGCATTCATGCTCTGCCACTTTAGACCGAGAGCCTACAGACATGTTTTTTTCTCACATTTCCATTCAAACTATCATTAAACTATTTTGAGAACCGAGTCTTTTGCAGCTGTCTAAATATCCATTTCAAATCCAATCAACTAAATCTATTTAATTAAAGAAAACATATTAACATGAAGTCAAACATGAATTTATAGTCTGCTAATCTAGTCGGATATAACAACAGGTTATCTTGGTTTTAATCTGCGTCTCCAGTGGAGTACTTCCATACTTACTCCTGCTATTTTGAGTGCTTAAGTTAAGTTTACACTGACAAGTACAGCTACATGAAATGCATGACGAGTATCCAGATGGTGTGCTTATAAAAGTCAAAGAGTTAAACGTGGAGCTCATGTGCACATTGCTCGAGAGTCATCCGCCATACTGGATGTGAGACAACCGCTGGTTGCTAGGGAAACGTGTGTATTCCCGACCAGTTAGCAGTGATTCCTGG